GACTGCCATGTTATCCTACTATGTAATCTTGATCCTCACCACGGTCTTTGCAACGACACTAGGTTGGTCATTAGAGGATTCCAGAACAATTCAATTGATGCTGAAATAGTTAATGGAGATCGTGCAAGAATATAAATAAAGCCCAGGGTCAAACAATACCAAATGTTGGTGTTTATCTTTCTGAACCAGTTTTCTCCCATGGCCAATTGTACGTAGCATTGTCAAGAGGTGTTTCTCCTAAGAGCACATGGGTTTTGGCCAACATAAATAAGGATGTTGACCCCACTGGAAAGAGCACAAAAAATATTGTCTTTACAGATATATTAGAGATGTGATACCGGTACATTAAATACTTTTATTTAATCTTATTTCAGTTTTGGAGATATAATACTAGAAACAAAAATATTTATTGTGCATACAAAATTTTCTTGTAGGAAATACAGGAATGTCCTGAGGTTTTTTAGAGCACCAAAATGTTGGACCAGGGATAACTGATCTCATCACTTCCCTTGGGAATTCAAGACTCTGTTGGAGCAAAGAACACTAGGAAACGTGATTTATACAAATGTACACGCGCACCCAATGATTATGTAAATACCAAACGAGCATTCTTATCTCATATATATGTACTTTCATTATAATATTACATGCAAAACATCTATGTCTCACTTAAAATTATAGCCCAAAATCAATTCTGAATTAATCTGATCGCATGTTTTCTAGAAAATGGCAAATAAAAATGACAAATGTTTTCTAGGCACGTGCGGCACGCACGTGCATGTTATATCTCTAGATAGATTTATTTTGAAAATGTATAGCGTGATTATCTAATAATGCTTATGTGATATCATAAACATTACTATTTTTGTGATATGTATTTGGTCAAACTTGAGATTGTTTGACTTCTTAAAATATGAAATGTGCACTTATTTTAGGACGGAGGAAGCACTAAATCTTTTATAAATTATTAAGTTAAACTTATAAAAAATGACTTAAAACACATCCAAAAGTGCACTTTTTTAGCCGGAAGTAGCATTAGTAAGAAGTCGCTACCCCTACAGCTTTCAAGCCTCTCGTCGCCGCCGCCTAGAGTCCCTTTCTTTCCTCTCCGGTGAGTACGTCGGTGGCAAGAAGAGAGGACTCGTCTCTTGTTTACAACAGATTTTTAGATCTAATTTGTTTAGATTTAGTCCAAATAAGTCTATCAACAATTTTTTTTCGAAACCTTATTCCCGCGATGACTTCAATAATTACCATAACGAGATCGCCATTGTAGGTGTCAATTTCATCAATAGGAGGCCAATTTGTAATCATTATCTGCAAGAGGGAAAGTGCTCCTAGACACTCCCTAAAAGATAATTGCCCTATTTGTTTGAACTTATTTGCCTGACTTATCAGAAGTATTTTTCTTTCACAACAAATCAGCTTCAGCCGGTTTATCAGCCGCCGAAACCATCAGCCGAACAGCTCGAATAATTCCAACCTCCAAGTCATTGATCTTACCATCAATGATCGCAAAAAGAAAACCAGACAACATGACACGAGGGTTTGAGTTGATGGATCTGTGGCTATACCTAACGATGCAACTACCAATGTTATACGTACAATGTTTTAAAGTTAATCGTTGGATTCAGCATAAGGGCCACTCTCTGGCTTTAATGTTTAAAAGACTGTCTAGTGCATTGAATGTGTCAGAGATGCATTTTTTTTATTTCAGCTTATCTAATGCAACTACCAATGTTACACGTACAATGTTTTGGATATACTGTATCGAGTTTTAAAAAATGCACTCTTTTAAGATGTGTGTGTGTGGGGTGGGGGTTGACAATGGATACGCGAACTTTATTAATTGAAGACAATTACATCGTTTAGTACAAACTCAAGAATAAAGCTAAGGGACTTATCGTCCCAGATACAATTCGTCTTGATTTGCATAGCTCATCTTGCCAGCTCGTGTGCTGCACGGTTTGCCTCTCTGCTGCAGTGCTCAATAGAAATCTCCTGGAAACCGCTGCAAAATAGTGCTACATTTGTCGTAGATGGCAGCCGCCGAGTTTGCCGAAAATCTTCCTTCCTTCACAGTCTCGACCACTTCCATGCAATATGCCTGAATGACTAGTCTATCGCTTCTAATGTGTTGTGCTAGCAAAAGACCTTCTTTCAGTGTGTATGCTTCAGCCATAGGCATCTATCACATGAGAAACGGAGCTATGCGCAGCAGCAATCACCCCACCTGAGTGATCTCTAATTACAACTCATGTGCTTCCACACCCCACATCATCGTCAAACGATGCATCAACATTTACCATGACCATTCCTTCTGGAGGCTTTTGCCACCCCTTGCACACTTTTGCTTCCTTCTTCATAGCCAATTTATAGTTTCTAGTTAGAGCAGCAATGGATAGAGCCGACCTGGATGGTATCGGAATATTTTCACCGTGGACATGTTGCCGGCGCTCCCACCAGATGTACCAGCCCCTGGTCAATATGAGTTCCGTAAGACCAACGTCCATTGATCGATTTTGTTCGCCCTATTGGATTACCTCCTCGAAGACTACCGAACCAGACCGCTCCACAGTTAGGAGCCGAGCGATTGACTCCCAGATGCCCAGCGCCCTCCACACTTCCTTGGCTCTATCGACACAAAGAGAATATGCTCAATGTCCTCCGCTTCATTCAGACACATAGGGCAGCCTCCTGTGTTTCCTATATGTCGGTTTGCAAGAATTGCCCGGCCTGGAATCAATCCGTGGAGAGCTCTCCATCCGAAGATCTTAATCTTCCCCGGAACCTGCAACTTCCACAACTTCTTCCACACTTGACTTCTTCCTACGCCGCTAGCTTGCATAGTGATATGCTGATCGGACTAAGAATAGTCCGTTCCTGTTATAGTGCCAAGCCACGAAATCCTCCCTTCCGCTAGTGATAGGAATTTGTAAGATCCTAGTTGCATCAACTGCCCAAAAAATCAACTTCACCAAATCCTCATCCCACGTTGCATTAACTGGATTTATAAGCTCATCAACAGTTCTAATAATATTATTACCTCTCGACGTTAAGAGTCCTCATGGAGATATACAATCTTGTCTCACGATCGCAACTCTGACTACGGGTTTCTACCAAAATTTGTTTTGTAAATAAAAAAAGAAAAAAAATACTTTAACTACAACAGCCATTGTTTTCCTATAAAACTCCACAAACATCCTTTAGCATGCTGAATATACATACTCATAGTCATAAACTCATAATAGATGGTGCATAATTGTAAATAGCAAAAGTTCACAAGGATCAAACTACAGAGCCCAAATGTAATGGAATTGTTTTACGCCAATGATGATTGAAATGCAAGCAGCATTATTCGACAAGATCTTAGGAAGACGGTAACGGGAACATTTGAACATGACATCATGGTCAATTTTAATCAGCTAGATATACAATAATCAGGCACAGGTTTTAAACACATGAATCTTGGACCAATATTTTAGAAATGCCATCAAAATCATATAACACAGTTGAACCAAGCAGTTTCTGTGTGATGAAAAACAAGTCAAATGATCACTCCCCTCGTGAGGATTACATGCAAGAGGAATGCCAGCATCTGAATAAAATCAAACAAGGAAACATGAGGGGTCTCATTATTGGCTGAGTTATCCAAGTTCTCTTCAATCAGGAATCACCCCGGACAAAAGTGGTGTATCAAAGTTGCAGTTGCAGACTTGCAGCCTTTTATGCCTGGAGACTCATGCCTCTGGTTCAGGTTTCTCAAAGAAAGTTTTCTTAATCCAGTCAAATGGCTGCAAAAGAAGTCCAATTTTTTTTTCAGAATCTCAGGTGAAAGCACTAAACCAGTAGGGTACACAGCAAAACAGGAAAAGACCAGAATCGATGAAAGAAACTAAGATCTTTAACAAAACAGGCACAAGGACATCACATCCTCTGTTAACAAAGAATCAGGTGATTCAAAAGAATGGATGAAATAGAGTAAACCTCAAATGGTTTACATAAGTTTCAGGCCTCAGCACATGTCTCAACCCAATAGGGTGAGACGAATAGAGTTATTACGTCGCTAAAAGGATGAAATCACCTTAAGGTGCCAAAGGAAACAACACCACAATTCAGCAACATTGTTATTATTTCAGCTCCATGGTCAGTACAAACTCAAATGACCTACCGTGAGACATGCATTATCAGGAATACAGGTAACCTGTTGGTGAGACCTACAGTTACACTTGTTTTCATTAAGAACACATATTCTTATTTCTCCACATATAATACACAGGTAAATAGCCCCTCAATAAGTTCCTCAAACATGAGCATATAGGCACAAGATTTAACATGACTATAAAAAGAACCAGGTGATGCAAATCAAGGCACCAGCAAAAAATAATAGATGCAGGTGAAAGCAAAATGATGCCACCACATGACCACATAGGTTAACTAAGAATTTATATTACAATATCGATGTGTTAAAAAAATTTAGTGGCAGGAATATTGATCAGAATTATGTTAAATTTCTGCCACGTGGTAACAGAAATTTGTGTATTTTGCTATAAACTACAGTCTACTATATCCTTGTCAAATACAGGTCTGCGTGATAATGACCTGGTATCGAATTTATGTCTACTTCAACATCTGAAGTACCTTATTTATTGCAACGATTTTCTGATTCCTGAGACACATTTGACATAGCAATTCCAATAGATAAATTTATAGCCTAGGCCATCACGAAAATGAGGGTTGTTCATCCTCTTATACCCCCATATTCATTAGACCCAAAGGGCAAGTTTGACTAAGCAACAAGCATATCACAAGTCAAACCCCAATAGAGCGCCTAATTGTTGACCAGACCGGGGTAAGGATCCCTAAGACCGATCTATCATACGCCAGATCCAGACGAACAACGACGATGACACCACACGAGCATCACGGATCCGATCTGCAACAACCAAACCCTAACACCGACGCAGGAAACAATTCCACAGATCAAGGAAGGGATAGGCCTACAAGCCTTCTACCCGGGCGAGCCACGGTCCATACACCGGAATAGCTAACGTCGGATACGAGATGCGAGCAGGCCGATGGATCCTGACCTGGACGAGGTAGAGGCCGGCGGTGCCGGCGAAGACACCCCAGGAGGCCGCGGACACGATGTCGGTGGACTGGGGGCGGCTGCGCGGGGAGACGAAGCGGAAGAGGCCGGAGCTCGACGCCGGGAGTGCCATCGCCGCCGCCGCTAATCTCGGTTCACCCTTCGCGTGTCGTCGGCTCTCTCTCTCTCTCGGAGGCAGGTGAGGAATTATGAGCGGAATATACGGACTGTTAAGTTTTCCGGGAGCAGGTAGGCCTGTATTGCCTATTAAAAGCCCACGAGAACCACATGGGCCTGATTGGCAAAAATAATCGAGGCCCATACTTTTGGACTGGAATCCAAGGATACATACCATGTTCTTTTGCCGTCAAATGTCAGGACTCAGGAGAGATCCATCAAAAAGAAAAAAAAGTCAGGAGAGATCTTAAAAAAAAATTCAGGAGAGTTGTTCGCAGATCCGTAAATAAATTTAATATTTATATTTATTTGTAATTTTACACACAAACCTGCTTGCATTTCTGCTCTCTTCGATGAGTCTTATGTAACTCCATCGCCTCACCTTGCCCTCGTTCACCATTTTAGGTGGCTCTCCTCGTCGAGTCCGGTACCATACTAACTATGGCTCTGTTTGTTTGAGCTTTTATCTGGTTTCTGCAAGCCAAAAGTCAGAAGCTGAAACAAACAACCAAGTTGTTGAGTTAGCTTTTTTAAAAACTGGTTTTTGACAAAATGAACTAAAAACTGAAAAACACGCTGAAAACAAATTTTCCTGGCTTTCGGTGTAATAAGAAGATAAAAACTTATTTAAAAACCAATACAAAAACACCAACAAACATAAACCAAAAGCAAAAAAAAATTATCAGTTTTAAAGTAAAAAATTAAAAAATACAGCTCAAACAAACAAGGCATACGATGGATCATTGTCGTGACTCCTTGAACACCTACGCTAGGCCGCCGCTAATCTTGTACCACCCACGCCCAGTGCTGCTAAACCTCCCCTTCACCCGCCCAGGGCCTCCATTTAAATTACGTTTGGTACGGACGCACGGTTTCGGCAACACAAGTGGAAAAAAGATGAGCGTTGCGAGTAGGCTCATTCTAAATTGGCTCATTAAAACATCAATCAATGTCCCACACAACCATCGGCCCATCTCTTATTGTTTTTGTCACATCCATCAGCCTCATTCGATGGTGACAAGCCCACGACAAAGCTATTTACCAAAAAAAGAAAGTCTTGTTCATGAAAATGCATGTTTTCTTATCTTAGATGAATGGTATGCCTATCAAACAAGCATTTTGAATTAGTTGGATTTTTTATGCAAAAAAATATTTGGATTTAGTGACTAGTAGATCAATCAGTTATGGTCTCAGTGACAAGAATTGGGCCCAGTATGCCGATTATAGTCAAGTTGCCTATAAGTGGAAACAAGCATGGCCGTAATTAGAGCAAAATAATCTGAGCTCGGGTCATATACTACTAGCGACGAGAACAACTGATGTTTTTTTTGGATTACGTTTTGGATATTATTTGCAAAGATACAAGTATATTTCTTTACTCGAAATTAATATAGTCACACGGAGACAATACTTTTTCTATGCTTTTTTTTTGTAACAAAAAGGTGCTACTCAAAATTGTATTTTGGAGATGGTGTTGACGTCTAAATAAAAAGTCGCTTTTGATCATTCGTGAGTGGAGGGAGTACGATTTAGCTGGACTATGAATCAATAAATTACTTCCACTATTAGAGTTTGAATTAATTTTTAATTTTCTTTTCGGTAATCCTTCTTTCCGTGACGGTCGTTGGGGATATTCCCGTTTTTAATACTCCCTCCGTTAAGTTTTGACTTTTCTAGATACGTTGATGTATCTAGATATAGTGTATATCTCAATACATATCAAAACTATGTATATAGAAAATCCAAAACATCTAATAATTTAATTTGGAACAAAGGGAGTAGTGTTCTAGCTTTTCCTAAAGGGGGAATTCCTCGTGTGCCATTAAAAAAGATCGCAATACCCTGTGTGTCCCTGGAAAAGTTTAGCGATCTTCAGCACCACTGCTCCAACTTTTTTGTGCCCTCCATGCCTGTCGGTGCAGAATGTGACCAACTAGTAAATATTTGTAGTTTTGTCGTACGTTGTGATCGGATGTGGCATAACACTCAATGACATATGGTTTATACTAGTTCAGGCAACGTGCCCTACGTCCAATTTGAGTCGGTCGGTGACTTTATTCCTAAGCCCAGGTGCTCGAAGTCTGCAGTGGGGTTACAAACGAGAAGGAGAAAGATAGAGTGTACGAGAGGTCCGGTCGGCTGCGGTCGGAAGGGCCGAGAGCGACAGGAGCTCCACTATGAGCTAAGTGTTCAAGCGTGTGCTTAGGATACGAACCCAGCGGTTCTGTGGTTGTGAGCTAGTGAACTTGATCAATGTTGGTTCACTAAAAAGGCTCTCCTTTATTAGAGGGAGCGTATCCCCTTTTATAGACAAAAGGGATAGCTTTACAAGTGAGAGGATGAGGGTACGTATGCTACTGGGCTCTGTTGCCCATGCCGACGGGTACAAGATAATGGTAGGCGCCTACAACACTGTTGATTGTCACTGTAGAATGTTAGATGCACATGGGAGGTTGCGTTGCCTTCTTCAGAAATGGCATATGTCGGTACCTGCAAAAATTGTTGATGCCTAGAGGCATGTGAGGAGTTTCACCACGTTCACCTAGTACAGTAAATCCCGGCGCCCACAACACTATCGATGCCCAGAGGCATGTGGGGGCCTTACCGTATGGGAGTTTAACGGCGCCTACAATACTATAGAGGGAAATGTCGGCGTCTACAGTACTGTTTGTGTCAGGGCAGTTGTAGAGGTACTGTTCTTGCAGGTGTATAGGGTATGGTCCCTGATATCGTGGTTTGACTTGTGCGCCCTGGCTTGCTTTCTCCATTCATCCCCTGGTTCCTTCCGAGCGGGCGTCCTCGGTCGGATGACCCCAGTCGGCCCTGGTCACGCCAGTCGGAGAAGAGCGGTGAGCAGGGTTTCTACGAACCCCGATCGGAGACGCGGGGTCGGAGTCGGAGAGGCCGTCTGTAGGCGGCTGGAGTCCGAAGCGAGCGCTCCGGTTGGAGAGGTGGGCCAAAGTAGTCGACGAGCGGGCACTATTCCTCTTCGGTCAGACCTTCTGGTCGGTGACTGGACCACCCCTTCGGCCTGTTGTTTTAGACCCTTGGGCCGGCCCAGCTGTCCACGAAGCTCGGAGACGCCCAGGAGCAAGTTAAGTCCGCTCAGCGGTTAGTTGAGGTCGACCTACAGCTCGCCACGGAGGTGAGTTTTGCGTACTTGTCCTTGACCTCTAAATCTTTTGTTGGTTGCCTTAGCATGTTTGTTTTTCATAGAGTCTGAAGGGGATGTCGTCCGGCAAGTCCCGCTTTCTCCGAACAAAGCACGCCCGGATGGCTGAGCTTGTGCATCAGCTAGCGTCCGCTCGTCGCGAGTCCTAGGACCGGGTGGCTGAGGCGACCGCGGCGCGGGCGGAGGGGCAGTGTGTAGCCGAGCGGGCGACTGTCGCCGAGCAAGGGCTCAAGGTGGCGAAGGCCCGCTAGGCGAAGACCGAGGCGGGGTTGCGGACATCCCTGGTGAACACCGAGGCGGCGCTTCAGGAGTCCTTGGCGGTCCTTGAGTCAGAGCGGGCCGCTTTGGTGTCGGAGCGGAGCGCCCTAGAGTCGGCACAGAAGGCCCTGGAGACTGAGTAGAGGGCCTTGGAGGTGGAGCGAAAGGCCCGGTCGGAGGCGGACCAGGAGGTGCTCGCGCTCCGGGGCCAGGTGATGGGGACGGAGGACGCGAGTGCCCGGTTGCGCGAGCAGGTGGCCCGGCAGGCAGAGGATCTTTCCACCCTTGAGAACTTCTGCGTTGGTACGTACCTTTTCTGTTTTTTGTTGTGTTGGCTTTTCCTTCAGCCCATTTCTGAGCTTGTCGCTCTTCTTTCAGAGCTGGGTGGAAAGGTGAAGACACTGGAGCGGGACCTAGAGATGATCAAGGCGACCTTCAGCCGGAATGCGGAGGAACTAGCCAAGTCCTGTGAAGAGCGACGTGCTCTCGAGGGGGATCTTGACCAGATCCGCAACGTTGTCCAGCTGGTCGTCTCGGAAGTCTTCAGGTCGGCGCCAAGCACTAGTGCGCCCGCCGTCTAGCTAGCGGAGGTCCCGGATGCGGTTCGGGACCCTATCAGACGCGGACTGTTCTACGGAGCGTCGAGGGTGCTGACTTCGGTGGCGACGCACCACCCGAACCTAGACTTCGCCGCTATTTGCAGTGGGTATGCTGAAGGCTTGAGCATGGAGGACATCCAGTCGATTGGGGAGGGCTTGCTGCCGCACGCAAGGTCGGTGGTAGAGCAAGTCTCTACCCAGTGGGTGATGGATGTCCGTCGTGAAGACATGGACAGAAGCATGCGTGGGGAGGACGCTGCCTAGCCTGTGGAGCCTGGGTCGGAGGTGAATGTCACCCTGGTTTCGATCGAGCCGAATGTCGTGCCGTCGGGGAGTGAGCAGCCCGCGCCCTCGTCGGTCGCACCGACAGCAGATGCCGCCGGTCCGGTCCAATAGCTTGTAAAATATAAGTAGTTTAGTGAGCGTAAAAAGTTTAAGTTCGTGGGGGAGCCCCCGTGTAAACGTTCCTATGTGCCTAATGACTACGGTCTGTTTCATTTTTCTATAATGGAGTCATTTCGTTTGGGGAAGCTTGTTCCCCTTTTGTTCCTTAGTTTTTTCCTTAGCATAATTTTGTTTTTTATTCTTTCCCTCTCGTACCTGCTCGTTTGTCCCGTAGGCTGCGACCTTGGGAGCCCGGGGCGTGGCCCGCGAGGCTCGGCTGCTCGTAATCGTAGGGAAAGGCGGGGTGCGATCGGTCGGAATGTTTTTAAAGCAAAGCTACGTAAGGCAAATTAAAGGAACAAACCATCCTTTTGGTTGGGTAGGAAGGAATTTCACCATATGATAGTAAACAAAATAGAGAGGTAGTAGTGTACCCTAGTGGAGCCCCTGAGCGCCCCGGGCCAAAAAAGTGTTCGGGTCGTGGTGCTTTCATAGGAGCATAGGCTAAGTAAACAATGGTAAGACTAAAACTTAGGGGAAAAG